GTAATTTGCAATTCTTTGTTCATTTCATCTTTGTATATTGAGGTGCATATTTACGAATTTACGAATTTTGGATGCTCATTTTCTCTTTTAGAACAGTGACTTATCCAATTTTCTCATATTTTCTCATTGACTAATGTATATTTCTAGTATCCGTTCAAGGGTTCGCGAACTAAATAAGTAAAACTCTATATTAAATATTTATTAAAAAGAAAGCTTTAGAGGATACTTAAAGGACAACCGTTTTTTTTTATACATTTTAAACTTTATACATTTTATTCATAATTAATTAAAGCTGCTTATTGATATTAATAAGTGATATAGGTCATTCGTTGATCGGTGAAAATCAAAACTGACATATGGGACCCCACAGCAAAAGGGTGCATTGGGCCAAAAAATTTTTTTTTATTTTAATTGATTTCTTGAAGAATTAGATTAATAGGAATACAATTTTTATAAAATTACAAATTTAAAATTTTTGTCCCAATGCACCCTTTTGCTGTGGGGGTCCCCAATGTTCCATATCTCAGCAAGTTATCAGTCTTCCCATGAGTGAGATTATAAGGTGAGCTAGTCATGGCAGAAAAATGTCGCGGTAACGTGATATCCGACCATTTCTGACCCTTTTGATAGTCCGAAATTAATACAAATCGCGATAGCATTTACGTTATACGTATTAAATCAATATAGAGATCTTATATATTGATAAGCTGATTAATATAACGAATAAACCTTATAATAATAAATTTTATATAGAGAATTTCAATTAACAGAATGTACTTTCGCTTCGAAAATTAATATTAATTAATAAAAAAAATTGAGATAAAAAAATCAGTATCTTAGATTATCTTTATTACCTCATGGTTGGTCAGAAATAGTCGGAGATCACGTTACCGCGACATTTTTCTGCCATGACTAACTCAACTGAGATTATAGTCGCGACGTCAATGATAGATAACAAGTGCTTTATTCGCTTCTAAATAAAAATGTTAAAATTAACAAGCATGCATGACCCGTTATGAGAATTGTGTAGTAAGTGTAGTAATATAAAGTGCTGCCACTTATAGGGGATAAAGAAAACATTAACGTCCGAATAAGTTTAAATTTTCGGGATCATTCTTAATACCTTGTGGTGGCACTAGAATTACTTTGAATGGTTGAGGCCCCTGTGATGTCTTTTTATACCCTGCGATCTTGATATAATGATCAGGGTATAAATCGGTTATACATTTGGGTTCTATGTGTTTAAGCGGAAATGAAATTTCCGCTTATATCCATAACTATTACAAAAAAAATCTACTTGCGGATTATAAACATTTAAAAATCGAATTCTGACACTGATCCTGTACCTCATCTATCATAAATAAGCTTAAAAGTCTTTTTTTTTATAGGAAAATGTAATACTTTATTTAGTAAAAACATATGAGCTTAATCTTACATAAAACATGTATATCACACTAAAATACATATTTGAATTTTTATTTTCATAAAAAAAAATTTGAATTATTAATCATCAATGATCTCGACAGACTCAATCCCTGTAACCAGAGAAAGAAGATATTGTGAATTTATGTCTTGAGTTTTCGATTTTAATGCCTCCATTATCTTACTGGTGTTAATCGATTTACTCGTGTACATATCATTTGGATGAATCGGTGATTTTGATTCTTGTTTGATATTATCCGCTTCAAAAAATTGTTTCTTGATCTCATTATCATCATCATCATCGTCATTTTGTCCTATCTCTTCAAACCAATTTCCAATTTTGTGACATATATTTGTTGCCGTTGGTCGTTTATTTGGATCAGGATCCATGCACCTTTTTGCCAATTTTACATAGCATTTTGGTGCTCCCTCACCGAATCCAGGTCGTTTGCCTTGACAAATTCTCATCGAAAGTTCAATATCAAAAGACTCTCCATCAAATGCTCTCTTTCCTGTTGCTAATTCCGTCATAATGATACCGAAACTGTAAATATCTGCCTCTTGAGTGAGTGGTTTTCCTTGTAAGACCTCTGGTGCTATATACGGCATAATCCATTGATCTCACCTTCTTGATTAATATCAGATGATAATGAAAGCCCCAAATCAGCAATGTATGCGCTGTGTAAATTGGCTTGCAAAATATTACCAGAATGCAAATCTCGATGAATTAATTCTTGAGAATGAATTGCAGAAGCGATACAATATAATATATTTAATCTATCTTTCCATACCAATTGAGTTACAGTTTTGAGATTCTGACGTAGCGAACCTGCAGTTGCATATTTCAAAACAATAATGTAATTTTTAGTGATGTCGTCTCTTGATACTCCATTACATTCTAAAAATGATGGATTATCATAACCTATATCACAATAATACTTCAATTCTTGAATGAAGTTTTTTACATTTTTATTCGAATTGTGAATGTGTTTAAGCGCAACACTCTTATAAATACTATCATTTTTGTTATACCAAAACGCGTAAAATACAGTAGCAAATCCACCTTTTCCTATTTCTTTAATATTTTCAAATTCATTGTAATTAATCCATGATAATTTATATTTTTCATCGTTTAAGATCTTTTTAACACCATCATCGACTTCTTCATGCGAAATTTTAAAGACTTCTTAATTTTCGATACCAATGATTAGCCCTTTGAATATCTCTTTGTACTCCAATTCCATTCCGATAACATTCACCAATATTACTTATTCCTGAAAAATTATCCATATTAGCAGCCTTTTTAAAACATTCAAACGCTTTACGTTCATCTTTTATAACTCCTATTCCGTCACGATAGCAAACACCAGACTACACATACCATCAACGCTTCCCATATATGCTGATTTTTGATAATAAATGAAGGCCTTATTTTCATCCTTTTCAACTCCAATTCCAAAAAGATAACATTTTCCAACATTACTTATTCCAAGAGCATCATCCATCTCAGCAGATTTTTGATAATAAATGAATGCTTTATGTTCATCTTTTTCAACTCCAATTCCGTTTTCATAACAACGTCCAACACCAAATACTCCAATTGCATCACCCATCTCAGCAGATTTTTGATAATAAATGAAAGCCTTATGTTCATCCTTTTCAACTCCAATTCCTTTTTCATAACAGTATCCAACCCCTCTTGTTCCATAAACATCACCCATCTCGGAAGATTTTTGATAATAAAAGGAAGTCTTATGCTCATCCTTTTCAACTCCAATTCCTTTTTCATAACAATATCCAACCACATCTCAGCAGATTTTTGATAATAAATGAACGCCTTACGCTCATCCTTTTCAACTCCAATTCCATAAAGATAACAATTTCCAACATTATTTGTTCCAAGAGCATCGCCCATCTCAGCAGATTTTTGATAATAAATGAAAGCTTTATGTTTATCCTTTTCAACTCCGATTCCTTTTTCATAACAATATCCAGTACTATTTATTCCAAGAGCATTACCCATCTCAGCAGATTTTTGATAATAAAAGAAAGCCTTATGTTCATCCTTTTCAACTCCAATTCCTTCTGCATAACAATATCCAGTATTATTTGTTCCAAGAGCATCACCCATCTCAGCAGATTTTTGGTAATAAAAGAAAGCCTTATGTTTATCTTTTTCAACTCCAATTCCTTTTTCATAACAATATCCAGTATTATTTGTTCCAAGAGCATCACCCATCTCAGCAGATTTTTGATAGTATTCAAATGCCTTGCATTCATCTCCGATGCCTTTTCGATATTTCCTTCCGAGTTTGTAAAGTTCAGTGCTTGTATAACTACCCGCCTGACCCATGCTAAATGTGTGTATCAAAATATTTTTTCATTTATATAGTTGCGTTCACTCTTATCTTTGAAAAAAATCTAAGTTTTATCTTTCAGAGGTTTTTTTTAGTTTTACTTCGTAATTTTTTTTCGTTTGAATTTATTAATTAGTAATTCTAGTAGAATGACTATCCCATGAAAATAGAATAAGCTTAATTAATAATATGTGGATATCAATTTTTACTATTCAAAGTATTGAATATTTGCGAATAGTGAAAATACTAAAATTATCGAAAATTAATTATATACAGAATTAGTACATAAATATGTAAGATATTACACGAATCCAAAATAATAATTATTTGTTTTACAAAATTCTTTTACTATCGTCTACTCAATTTATAAGCTTTAATTCGTAATCCGTGAGTAAGGGAATAATGATCGGCGGGGTGCATATCATAACAAACAATCGATACACATGATCTGGAGCCATTTTTAAAATTTCTCGATTCCTGTCAAGTTAATATCTTTTGTGTTCTTATAAAAATTGTAAAGGCAATTTTCCTCTTTCAAATGGCGGTAAAATCATCAAAATTGACCTAATAGATCGCGAGATATTGTCATTTTTGTCTTCACGATCATATGGGCTGCCGTCAATAGAAATAGACATTTTAAAAAAAATTAATGCCTTAACTTTCACAGCTCATATCTTGAACTTTGAGGCTATCTTGATGATTTAGTATTCAAAATAAAGCTTAGATCGTAAGCTTTCTTTTGACTATTTCCAAACTGGTTATATTTGGACGACAACTATATACCGTATGTTTTATAATTACTGTATACATTAAGGTATTTAAAAACTCCTATATCTACCTTTCTTGTTAATAGTATAAGTTACTGTAGCACGTGACAATGATCCTATCCCGACATAATATTATTAAAAATAAGTTTTAAATAACAAATCTATTGTTACCCGGTATATAAGTACAGTAACTCACAACATAATTTATCATTTATCAAAAGGAGATTGTAAAAGTATAGATGTAGCGATATTAACTTTTTTGAGAACCATAGCAAGTCAATTATATAAATTTTAAAAATATGATTTTGTTGAAAATTTTCCTTTTTAATATATTCAAAGACCGAAGAATTTTTTTAAATCAAAATTTAATAACTAGTTTTTACACGGTAGTGCCAACTCATTTTTTCGCCATAATGAGTTCGGTGGAACTATTATATAAATTAGAATTTATGTTTTATATACTTTTGCCATAATCCCAATGAATTAAACACCGTACACAACACTGTACATCTAGTTGAATTGACTTGAGATCTTCATCTTCGTTTACTAGATAGGAAAAATTAATAGTAACATTAACAAAGACAACGAGTCCAATGTGAATAAAAGTGGTGTCAAGTAACTAGAAAGGAAAGTGACAATTGAAATAATGAAAGGATTACATTTTAGTAACAATTTTCAAATAAATAACGTATTCTTGTCAATTATACAGAATTGCTTCCAAATACGCAACCTTTTGATCCTTACTACGTAGATTCTCATACTTTTTCTTTTGCCATGAGCACAGAGTTGTGTACATCTCTCGCAGCTCTTGAATTGCGTTAACTAAGCAAATATTGGTTGTTAATATATTTTTATTAAATGGAACCCTATGCTAATTTCTTACAATTTTTTTTGTCATTTCTGTCATCTTCGCCATTTCCGTTAATCATGGTTTTAAAATTTTAGAGAGCAAAAATTTTCTTTGTGTGGGAAACGTTTTGTAAGTAAACTTTACTATGAAAAAATTCATTAATTTCATTTAATACTGTAATATGAAAAATTATTTTGATTGATTGTTTATTTTCTACTGAAACACGTGCAAAAATTTTTTATTAAAATTTATGATTGTACTTTTAAAAAAACATGACTCTCGTACTGACGTTTGAGATATGTCTTTGAAGCAATTATAGACTAGACCCGGTATTACAAGATCGTTACTGGGTCATAATCAAGTCATTTCTAATAACTCAAATGACCTGGTTGACTTGGGATCATACAAAGTGGTAGTATGTTATGTTATCGAATGTAATGAAAAATAGCATATATGTGTCGCCATCTAAGATAATGCCATATACTGATTGACGCATGAAGATCACGGTAAATAACATAACGGTAATGGCATATGTTAATGACATGTGAATATACAAATGTTGAACATTTTAAGCTAAAGCAAGAATTACATGTTCTCTTTGGAGCTACGTAGGATGCGGTAGAATTCCGTAACGACATAAGCTTTAGTTAATTATGGCTTAAGTCATAACATCATTGGGACGATTCTACCGCATCGCTAAAACCAAAGATCCCTTGTTTGACTTGCCCAACCTGCACCAAGAATTACTTATTGTCGTTATTTAGAATAATAACCTTAATTAAGCTTAATCCGGGGCAAAATTTGAAATTACACTCCTGCGCGTTATTTCGCGGCAATGCATTTTCTTTATTTGCCAACCTTTCGGCAGGCGGGAAACCACTGTTTATATGGCAACCCCTATATTTAATAAAGTTGGTCATTTAATTTTTTCTGTTCCGCTTTGATCTAATAGGATTAACTTTATGTAATTGTTGAAATATAAGGCATTTTAAAATACATAAAAGTATTAATTATTGTCGTTATATAAATAAACTTACAAATCAAAATAAATAAAAATAAGGTTTATGAATCACTGATTTCGAAATATTTAAGCTACATCTCATTTTATTCAGTCTAAACATAACGACCACCCAGGGTTTAAAATTGACTTGCACAAGATGCACATGTGCAAGTGTTTTTTTGGGATTTTTTGGGATTTTTAAAAAATCTCTTAAGTGTGCAAGTAAAGCTTTTAAAAAAGTTGCACAAAATACATTTGTGCAAGTGATTTTTTTTTGAATTTTAAACACTGCGACCACCTATCATGTTATTTACGCGTGTTGATTTAGTCTATCATTTATTTTATCCCATCTATTCAACCTGTAAATATAATAGTCATTCAATGTATTAAATTGGGTTTCAATTTCGTGAAGTAACGATGCATTACATTGTGATAAAATTACAAGTCTTAATTTATCAAAAAATAAAAGCTAGTATATAATTTGATTTAATGCTACGAACGTACGTCCGTAATCTGTGACAGGTTAAGCCACTAATTTCAATCACCGTCCGATTATATTCCCAGCGTAAGACTTGACTATTATAAACTATTAACAAAAAATACCTGAAGTTAAAGTTGCTTTTTAATATTAACTAAAATATTTATATAAAACAATAAAAAACTTTTATTTTAAAAATAAAATAACAAATATATACTACATAAATATTCCTATAGTATATTATATTATAATCAGTGTTTAAAATTTGATGTTCTCAGTGTTCTCAGAGAACATTTAACAATTTTTATGAACATGAATTACTGGAAAATGTTCTCTATTTGAGAACATTTAACAAAATTTTTTAATATTAAAAAATTTTTGATTTTCTAATACTGAGAACATTAAAAAATTTTTGAAAACATTAAAATTTTAAAAAATGTTTTTTTGAGAACATAAAATCAATTTTGAATTTTAAACACTGATTATAATTACTTCAAGCAAACAATATGTCGTTTCTTTAACCGTGCTAATTGTTCAACATATTTTTACATCATACTTTTTTTTTTACTTAATTTTAACTTTTTTGAATGAAGATTTTTTTTACTTAATTTTAACTCTTTTGAATGAAGATAACTCAAAAGAGCTTTTTTTCATATTATGTATTTATGAATGCATGTTTTCACAGCACTTTTGATTGAACAGTCGTAACTAAAATCATAAAGAAAAATGTTCGGAAGATTTTATTTTTGTTACATTATACTGATCTTTGAGTTTATCTAACACGATTTGTAATGTTGGCTAAAATTCTGACAATCTGAATTAATAACTAAAAATGAAGTGATGCCAAATTTGTATGACCTGCGAGGCATTTGAAGGACCTTTCATATTAAAAAAAAATTATTTTTATAAACTTTATTTCTCTTTTAAGTCTTATTAGAAGTCAATAGGGTTATTTAAACTTTTAATTTATTTGCACACTTTTATGTTAGATAAAAAAATTAATTTATAAAATAAATATTCAAATACGATAAAATCGTTTTTTATATATTCAACTTTGTAATAATAAGCCTTTTCAAATAAATTTTCCATCATAATTTAAGGCATAGTCAGATGGTGATTGAAATCAGTGGTTTAACCTGTCACAGATTACGGACGTGCGTTACGAACTATGATTTATTGACTTTGAAGATAATATGTGATTTGCTATTTTTTTAGTTAAAACTTTTGATTATAATAACCTTCCTTTATAGCAAACTGGTTATTTTAAAAAATTTTCAAATTTCTTAATAGTGAACATACTGTATATAAAAAATGATTAAACAATGGTATTTCTATTTCATTTGAGACCATTACATTTAAAGGATTAAATTACTTTAAAATATTTGAACATGGTGGTATTGCTTTATAAAAATTGTGAAAAATAGAGTTTATCCATGTATCAAAAATCACATGACGCGTACATTTATAATCTATCAAAATTTCTTGACGCGTAAATACTTCTGCTTTTGTTAATTCATACATTCCAGGTTTTAGGTAAATATTAATTAAAGAGTAATACTGTATAATTTGTCATTTTTCATTTTTATTAGTAATTACCTCTTAAGCATTCTATACTTCATTAAAATTATGCTTTTTTTTTTTTTTTATGAGAGTTAGTAGCAAAAGTAGAATCAATTAGATGCTGGTGACTTGACGTGTATGCAATATGTTGCAGTTTGGATCAGGAGAACAGTTATCTGTTATGGATGATTTGAAGAGCTAATTGTTAACTTTATTAATAATGAAAAAGGAAATTTGTAACCTAACTATAAGGGCTCAAAAAATCCAGGTGTTGAAAAAAAATAGTTGAAAAAAAAAATAGTCAAAGATAATGTAAAGTTCCTCCAACATTCCCTTTTCCCGACCCATCCTTTTCCAATTTCCTGACATTCCCATTTCCTGACATCTCCTTTTCCCCAACATCTCATTTTTACCATAAATGTAATTCTTGATTTCATTGACTAGTAATAGTCAAGATCAGGTACATCCAGGTGTTGAAAAAAAAATAGTTGAAAAAAAAATAGTCAAAGATAATGTAAAGTGTAGGCGACGATTACCCAAAGTATTTTCAATTTTCGGTGAACAAAGTTTCCACCTTAGAATTCATTTAGAAGAATTAATACGGTAATGAGTTATACAACTCCTGTAAGAAATAAATGCCTGATATTTTTCTAATATAAGTCAACTTAGTTTATTAGAATGATCAACTCAAACACGAGAAGAAATAGAAAAAAATAGAAGAAAAAAACCGCCCAATATTATTGTGAATAATGTATTACAATCAAAAATTATGCAGGTATCCAATAATTTGCATTTATTCTCACTTATTTGGAATTTTTAAATAATTATTTTCTGTATCTCTCAAGAAAACTAAAGAAATATACTGAACTTTCTGTAGAATAACCAATTGACAAACACAATTATGCAATAAACATAAAGAAGAACAAACTATCAGAGTTTTAAGTTAGTTAGCAAATTCGAACGATAGTCATACACTATAAAATTAGAAACTCTTGATAATCGTTCAATTTCTTAAGAAATTAACAAAATCCTTGTAAAAATATTATTTTTACATAATTATTTTAGATAATTTAGCTATTTTTTTTAGAATTTAGTTATTTTGATTATTTATACTATAACATCGGTAAAATTATCGATGATTATAATTCTCAAATTAGCATTATGTTAATGAATGCAAAAACAGATATCTTACTCACTTGCAGTCAGGGTCTCTATTATCTGGCAGCCTTGTGCTACTCACACACTTCAGCTCTCTGTAAGAGAGGGATTAAAGCAGATTAAGTCTGTTCACCAACGTCTCAAAGTATTCAAGCATTTTTTCGCCTTCCAAAACAAGCACAACGGTTACACTGTGGGAACCTCAAGAACTCCACGAACTTCAGAAGCACCACGAACTTACATATGGATGATTTAAATAATAGGATCAAAAATTTTTTAAATAAATCGGACGACTCACGGTAATAAACATATAAAAGTAGAAATGGGCAAATCGCAGTTTTTTCAAAAATCCCGCGCGGGGTAGGATTACCAGTTTGCAAATTTTTTAATTTTCGCATTTACAGCTATTATCATAATTCCAAGGACACCTGTAAAAATTTGCCGAATAACTTTTCGGCCGATCCGGTTAAGTTATATATTTCGGGAATAATAAGATTCACTAAGTCGTAAAATTTCAATCCTATTCTTTGGCACGATCCATTTTTGTTCTAATTATTTTTCGACGAAAATTCGGGTTTAAAAAATTGTCTAAAATTTCAATTCCTATACTTTTGGCAAGATCTGATTATTTTTCGATGAAAATTTGTTTTTAAAAAATTGTGTAAAATTTCAATTCCTATTATCTATTTCATTCAAACAAAGCCTTCATTCATTTCTAATTATTTTTCGGCGAAAATTAATTTTTAAAAA